GTACAAGCTGATGCTCACGTTCTGATCTTCCACCTGTCTAGAATTCCGTTGGCTCCAACCGGAACACGTTTATGTCTTGGTACAACAGTTCCAAATTACCAATAACAGTCTAAACGAGTTTTGTATTTATTAATTAAAAATTTTTAATTTAAAATTAAGATGAAATTTAAATTACTATAATGTCAAATAGTTGTGAGGGACTAATCCGAACACCACTATCAAGTAAAGAGCCAAACTTCCGACCTTAGGATGAATGGCTAACCGGAATAACCCCATCTCTCCTTGTGACTCTCATTCCTAATGGATAACATCATGACGACTGATGTTGTCTTAAATGTTTTAAGGCAAGAATTAATGTACTTTTATGACTTCCATAAAGTTATAGTACATTACAATAGATCAAGGTTGATAAAAGAGAATTTGCCATGTAAAAAGTAACTTTGAAAGACTATAAATACACCTCCAACCATTACATCTTAGGTAGATTTATTACATCCTTAGTTTTCATAGTAGGAATAACCAACCTCTATTAAAATCCTCTATGTATAAATTTGAGTGTTGGAGTGTTTATTCGAGATTCAACCTTGAATTTTGCAAGTGAACAAAGGTAACATTTACATGATTTGGCCAACTAAAAATCGATCAAAATGTATGCCATGCTAGCTTTTAACTCATATTTGTGAATATTATTTGCTTTAAAAAATGTGATAAAGATCAAAATAGTAAAGTAGATTTCATAGATTAAAATTTGAGAGTAAAGAAAATTTTACATACTTATATAAGATATTGTTGGAAACTAATCATTATGTCTTCATATGTGCTTAATCTCCCAACTATCTATATGGAAGCTCATTATATTTCCTTTTATCCTATGATATTGAGTAAGATTTTACCTTTAAATTTTGAGAGAGAAATTTGTTAGTTTTGTATATGTAATTTTAGGTTTCTTTGTAACTATATTTCCGATCTAATTAGCAATACAAATCCTAACAAATGAAGAACCTGTCCTCCTTGATCCATTGAGTGGTCAAAATCAGTGAAAAGTTCTCTACTTGCATGGGAATAATAGGAAGCAAGATGACTACTTGTATGCCAAAGAAAAATATTCATTGCATCAACAGTGATATTAATGCTCCAATCTCCAATGTCTGTGAAGCAAAAATTAGGGTTAGAGTTTGAAAATTGTAATCTAAGAAAGTTGCAGAGGGAAGAAAACTGGATTGTTGTGTGACTAAGATGAAACAACATTATTCCAAAAAGTGCCAGTCTTTTTTTTTTTTTTTTTTTTTTGTTTATTTTGGCAAATCTTATGACTTAGGGATAGAATTCACAAAAGTATTCCGTTTGGTTGGAGTTAGACCGTGTCCTTTGCAATTTACATATGAACTAACCAGCCATATGGGAGAGTAAAAGTGGCCAAAGCCACTTTGCTCCGTGGATTGGCACCTAGGTGTGGGTCCCTACACTTGTAATCCCTTCCTCGTCGATCTCGAACCTGGTGAAAATCGACTATGAGTTCTCCGTCTGCCTGAGGAATAGAAAGCAAGACGAAAGCCTACTTCTATACCGGAAGAAATATTCACTGCAATCCGGCGGCGGTGACGGTAATGCTCCGGTCTCTGATGGCTGTGGAGAAAAATTACGAGATCCTTCCTCTTTTTGCTTTCCTAAGAATACTGGTTTGTTTATGCCTTTATGGCAAATGTCGGCCGCTAATTGAGTTCTTTAGGTCCTTCGGAGGCTTTGGTTGGGCTTTTTTACTGGTCTCATTCTCTTTAGCAAATGGGTTTGGATCGATTTAACATTTTGCTCTAATGGACTGGACTAACTACAGGCTTTTAATAGACCGAAACAGCTCACGGATCGAGCTTACATCCTTCATTTTAATGGACTAGACTAAAATATCGGCACTTCATCCATGAGTCCAATTACAGAGATTTCGGGCATCCCTCGTTTTTGAGAGCCTTCTTTTCCTTCGACTATCATTCTTAGATAATTCACCAACGAAGGTTGGATCAAGTGGCAAAC